ATCAAAAATTGTTGTATTCTCTGTTTGTGTTCATTCATATTATATCAAAACAACTGTAGAAACACTCGCATTAACGCACATATTGCTTGAGTTGACTTTCATTTTCAATTTTAGCGAGTGAATAGACGATTTAGACCCCTTCAGTAGGAATTCTTAAGTTTGTAGTGTGAAGACGACATAATTCGCTCACAGAACACAATCATTTAGCCTGTTTAGTGTAGTCACAATATTGTTCACTTCATGCTCCAAAATTAGAGAAGATTCAACTTAAAGAATTCTTAAGCTTGCAGTATGAAGTCGACATAAGCAACTTGTTCACCAGACATAATCATTCTGCTTGGTTAGTGGAGTGACCATGATGATCACTTCATGCTCTATATAGTGTAAGCAACTTGTTCACCAGACATAATCATTCTGCTTGGTTAGTGGAGTGACCATGATGAACACTTCATGCTCATATATTTTATATTTATATTGTGTGCTATTTATACCATATTTTTTTTGGGTTCAACATAGTTATTAATACGGTAATCCCAATAATAATGGTACTGAGACTTACATATACGCAATCTCTATTATGACGCCGGTGAAGGATTCAGCGCTTCCTCTCAATCGAAACATTTGGTTTCCGCTACAAACTTTAACACTCTTATTAAGCCAACTAAAAGGGGTTAAGAGGGTAACCCTTTGTCTAGAGAAAGCCGTACATCGACATAATAATAACTATTCCGTTTTTTCAATGCTGTTATTCTGACAGATTTTACAAAGTCTGTGCGTGCAGACTTTTCGGTTAACGTTTTCTCTATGTATGGTAGATTTGTTATATCTGTTAGTCATTTTTAGTTTATTCAGCTATGTTCTATCTAAACAGACATTAAAAGGAGAGATTTGGAAGCCTTTGAGATGTGATTAAATTTTCCAAAAGACTAATACCGCATGTGGCGAGCTTATTATCTCAACTCCCTCCAATATCATTGTAACCCGCAATTATTTAGAAATAAACGTTACAACGCTACTGATTTTAATCTCGTATCTTAGTTTGTGGGTGATTTAGTGATAGCATGGTTATCTACGATATAATATACTATATACACATTGCTATATAATCTCGTATATCGTTCCACCATATTAGCTCTCTTATGTGTCGCGTTAATTTCAATTTGGAAAAGACTCGAATAATCCGATAATATGAAGTAAATTGACTTACGTCGTCTCATAATAAAATACTCTAGTTTCTTTTTCTTCTTTTTTTTGAGTTTTAAATCTCTCTTTACACCTATTTGTAGATGGACTCAGCTTTATTTCATAGAATAGATTTCCATACTTATTAGTATATTGGCAGGCCACTGAATTATGTTTGAGTGGACTTAATTTGAATAAGTTACGTCTAGTCACTGGTATAATAGATTTGTGGATTGATAAATCCTTACCAAAAGAAGATGCAATATGCTTACATTATATTAATTTTTTTTCAAGAGAATGTCTGGATAAGCGACAATATTTGTTTGATTTATTGGAATGTTGACAGAATAAGGTATTTATTAAAAAATTACTTTTAGTAATTAAAAGTGTAGGTTGTATGGGCTACTTTTCATAAAAAACATCTGATAACGAAAATTAAACGACTCTAGAAGTTACAATACATGATTTATGCTGGATATATACTGACACTCTTGTAGTACAATGTTAGTAAATTTTAGCTTTATATAAGTGTATTACTATCAAATATACTAAGAAGAAACAGTTTCTGTTTGTGAGTCAATTCATAAAAACTTAAGAAATTGTGAGTATGACTTGTACAAATAAGCAGTATTATACTTAGTCTCCATCAGTCGATTTGAGTCATTTGGAAAATTGGATCATTCCATATTTTTAGTTTTTTAAATTAATAATTTTTTCAGGACATTCTACTGAATTTGTTTTTTTATTTGTGCTTTATACATATATTTATTTTCATTCTATTTAAATATTTGATATTTTGATATATTTAAAATATAAAACTAATATATGTAACTAATATAATCAATATTATAAAATCAAAAGAAATAATACAACTAGTGGTTTCCTCCTTTTTTTCGGATATGTGTTTTCAAGAGTGCTTGCCAGATTTTAGTGCGATCGGAATAAAAATTTATCCACACAACCATTTTCGTTTCAAAAGAAAAAGCAGGCATAGATTTCAAATCATACCGATATCCGCGAACATAATAAAGCACATTTTTCAGAAATGGACATTTTTTTGGAAAATTACTATATCGGTCCAAATTTGCACGTCCCATCTGTATCAGTGCAATTTGATTTTCATTTGAAAGTAATTGACATCCATTTGCTCGACTTATGTTTATCAAAACGAAATTTTTCGGTTTGCGGGGCAATTCAATAATTACATCAAAAAAGAAATGATGTATATCCTTTATATATCGAAACTCCATACTAAAAGTGCGTCGTTTTAAATTTTTGCTAAGTGAACATGCTGCGTGAGTAAGAATGGAACTAGTGGAATTGCATTGAATATAATCGTTTACTAATTCCATATCTGCCTGCGAAATAGGTTTTAGATAATGTTAAACTTTATATGATTTATGTTAATAAATGTTTACAAACCTTTACATGAGAATAAAAGTTAAGGATTATAAAAAAGAGAACTATTGGAATTAAAAAGCGTTCTTTGAATTGCATTGTGATTAATCCATTTAAGTTTTTCGTTTTCAAAAAAATATTTTAACTTTAATTTTACTGAACCTTATATCAGTAATTAGTGAAATATAAATGTACCATGAAATTTTTCACAATTTTAAGAGCATGTGGCTTGGTTTCAGTTTTGATTATTGTAATTTTGTAATTAGCTATTAAATTATAAATTTTGATGTGATTAACCGGAGCTGACAATAAACTAATAAGGTTGACTGAGTCTTTTTCACCACTTGTTTAAAACAAGTGTATGAAATTAATTAAAAGGTCTTCCAAATAAATTAAAGCATGTATATATAGTCTCAACCAAACTATTCATTTGGGAGGTATTAAATACAACTGCAATAATGACGCATAATAGAAAAAACCGGTTATACTAATGATTACACTATTAACTAGAGAAAAAGAAATGTACTTATAGTAATAAAAGTTAGACTGGGTTACACTACATAGAAACTTAAAATGTAAGAATGCAACGTTAATGTGGAGAAGTATTATACCATACATAACATATTAGAAGTCGCAATCTGGACAGATAAACAAATTTCAGATAAGCTTTAGAATTTATCGACAAGTCACAATCGAATTTCTTTGAAAGCATATTTGGTCAGTATATGAGAATTTAATTTAAAGAGTTTTGCATGGCAATTTAAGAAGTTTGTATAAAAAAACGATTATTTTAAAATCAACTATTATTATGACATATTTGTAATTTATATAGAGTGCATCACAAACTTAGTCTATTTATAAAATTGTTTTCACATATTCTTTCCATTCAATCCTGTTTCTCGCTATGTATCTGAGCTGATTCATCGGGTTATTATTGATTGGTCTCTTAAGCATGTGTCCTAGCTATCGATATTCACGCTTTTTTAATTCTTCTTCCACTGCGAGTTGTTCTGTTTTTTTCCACAGCTTTAAATTTGAGATAGTTGCTGGTCACAAAATGCGCATAATGTGCCTCAAACATCTGTTTATGAACGTTTTTATTTTCTTAATATTTGTTCTGGTGATAGCTCATGTCTCGCAGCTGTATATGAGAGTCGTTTTGGCGCATACATTAGAAATATTGATCTTAGTCCTGAAACTTATTGCACTTGATCACAGTACTTTCTTAAGATACGTAAATATACAATTTGCTTTTCATATCCCATACAATGTCCATTATAGAGGACATTTATCATTACCAACAACACTGTCGAGATACTCAAACCTCTTTATTTCCTCTAAGACCTTATTGTTGACAAATAGACTATCTTGATTGCTGGTATTTATGTGCATTGTTTTAATCTTCATTACGTTAATGTTCAGGCCGAATTTTCTCGATTCATTATTTAGATTCGTAATGCTTGCTTACATACCGGAAATTCTGCCGGCAATGAGCACTGCGTCATCAGCGTAGTTCAAATGTCTCAATTTTTGGTTCAACCTGCAATTAATGTGATGCAAGTTTTCATTCACTGCCTCAATAATTATGTCGAGAACGATGATAAACGATAAAGATGAGACGTAAGACGTACCCGTTTGATTTTTGATGAGCGCTGAGGGTCTGCTATGTGTAATCTCTATTAAGCGCATCAACGCTTAAACCAATTGGAATACTCACTTTAAAAAATGTATTGCTTATAACGAACTATTTTGATGTTGGCGAGGTTAAGACCACGGATTAGATGTTTATTTAATGTCGAAAATGATAGAGCAAACATAAATATGATAAGCTGGAGGACATTTATAAAGAGTCGATACAAATATTGATCAAATATTTAATATACAAAATATATTGATTATAAATAATAATATAAAATGTAACGAGACTTAAGTTCGTTTAGAGTAAAAAGTGATCTAGTCAGATAAGCATATTTATATAATGAATTTTTTTTTGGCTTAGTATAAATTTGTATTAAATTTAAAAATTTTGAGAAATAGAAAGTACTGTTTAATATATTATTGTCAAATATGTTAAAATTAAACATAAAATTTTCTTTCGACGATCGTTATAGATAAATATTTCACAACAAATGATATACCTAAGCGTTCATCCTCAAAAATTTTTTATTGAATAAATAATTATTAGTATCAGTTTGTTCGCTTAATTTTTTTATTACTTTAGCAGCACAATTTATTTTATTATAATAATTATTATAATTAATTATTTGTGTTACACTACTTTTTATACAACTTTGTATTACTTGGAAAATTCAGATGTAGTTTTGATTAAGATAACATTCGCTGTTTGAAGTAATCTAAATGTAAATCTTGATCTTCGTTATATTAATTTTTCTCTCAATACTTGTTAATAAAAAACACTACTAGTTACGACGTCCCTTTTTTGCAATATGAGTTTTTAGCAGCATTTCCCAGATTTTGGTGCGATCCGAATAAAAGTTAATCCAAACCATCATACTTGTTTCAAATGAAAAAGCTGGCATTGTTCTAATATCATAACGATATCCGCGTACATAATAGAGCGCATTCTTCAAAAAAGGACACTTCTTGGGAAAGTTACTATATTTATCCAAATGAGCACGGCCTAATTGCACAAGCACAATTTGATTTTCATTTGAAAGAACTTGACAACCATTCGCTCTACTAATATTAATTAAAACAAAATTTTTTGGCTGTCGAGGCATAACCATAATTAAATCAAAGAAAAAATTTTTAACATCCTTAATGTATTTCAATTCTAAATTGAACGTACGTCTTTTAATGTTTTTGCTAAGATAGCAATTACTATGTGTTACAATCGAACTTGTGGCATTGCATTCGTAATGATCGTAAATTATTTCCATTTCAGCCTGTGCAAATATATTAAATTATATTATAGATTAAAAATCTTATAAGCAGTTACTAACCTTTGCATCATGAATGATTTTACTTAAATATTGGATAATTAAGTAAAGTTCTATGAATGTTTTAAATCTCATTGCATACAGTATTGAAATTTTTATCCACTGAAACTAAATTTTTTAATTTGCTTTATTATACTGAATTAAATTAAAAAAATTATTATTTTCATTCTTGTATAAAGCTTGTGAACTGATTACTCTAATTATGTAATTAACCTATTAGCCAGTGACGATTGCTCTAAGGTGCGGAGGTGTGCGGTGAACACCCTAACATAATTTCCAAAATGTCAAATAACATTGAAATATAAATTTATTAAGTATCTTCACATCAAGAATTATTATTATTTATTACATTTCCATATATATTTTTTTAATGTTTTAGCAAAAACAATTAAATATAATTGTCTATGAAAACTCAATCAATTT